TCTTCTCTTCCATAAACAACGAGGCTTTGAATGAATTGTCTCTTATTGCAAAGGAACTGGACGTCGACGGTGTGCAAGCACTTGAAGAAGGACAGGTTCTCCATTACTGCGTTGAGAATGAGGTGCCATATATTGATTGCAGTTTTCCCCCATGTGACGTCTCCTTGTGCCGCCAAGATATTGACAAGTACAAATTGCGCAGCTTGCCGTGGGTTCGTCCTGATGCATTTATTCCGCCGGAACAACTGAAGGAGGTCCGTCTCTTTCGTCGCACCATTCTTCCATCACAAGTAACACAGGGTGATATCGGTGACAGCTACCTTATCTCCGCCATGGCTTCCCTTGCAGAGTCAAGGGACCGGGTTCGAGACATCTTTCGCCATCCTGTCAGTGCCGGGCACGGAAAGGTGGAGCGTGCCTTAAGTGCGTATTGGGTGACGCTGAACTACAACGGCTGGTGGTGCCCTGTACTGATTGACGACTACTTGCCCGGCTACCGCGAAGGGCCAGAATTTGCGCGTTGTGCTGTTGATATGCGTCGCATGTGGGTTGGACTGCTTGAAAAGGCCTACGCGAAGGTGCACCATTCTTATTCAAATATTGCCAGCGGAGATCCTCTTGAGCCTCTGCAAGACTTTACGGGATTCCCCATTACCCGCTTTGATGTCTTTTGGGAGGAGGCTGTGAAAGGCGACGATGAGTTTTTTAAGCGCATGGTAATTTACGACAAGAAGGATTTTATCACGATGCTTTACACGCCTCGCAACGATGATTCTCAAGGCCAACCTGCGCATGGGTCCATCAACGGCGCAGCAACGAATGTGGAGAACCGCTGCAACGAAGTGGGACTGCGTCTGCATTGCGGCTACACGGTGTTGCGTGTCAGGTACTTTGAGGATTTTGATCTCCGCCTTTTGCAGTTCCGCAACCCATGGGGGACGGGCGAGGAGTGGACGGGAAGCTGGGGCAAAAAGGACAAACGATGGGACAAATACCCGAGCGTCAAGGCCCGCTGTTTTCCTGACGGCATGGATGCAACGGAGCCTGACAACACCTTTTGGATGGAGTGGAGGGATGTCTTGACAACCTTTGTTGGTGGTGGTGTTTGTCACGTCAAGCGCAACTGGTACGATTACCGCATTCGTGGCGATTTTAACGATGGCTATCCGACTGTGTGTCTTGGAATAAACGTTTCAGATCCCGTGGATGCGTACATTGTTCTCTCTCAGGAGGATGAACGTGATGGCGATGATCTTGAATACGCAGCGATGCTCATCAGTGTCTCCCGTCATGGTGGCAAGCATGAAAAGATGGATTGCACAAGCAGCTTGGATGTGGAGATGCCCGGATGCGAGCTTAAATTCAACTTTGCCCGCGACGTTGCGATGCGCTACACGTTTGAGCCGGAGGGAAACCCGTACTTTGTCATCCCCCGTGTCCACGACAACTCCATCTCCAAGCCCTATGTTCTCGGCTTGCTGTTGGACACGTACGCTGGAAATGGCATCCGGGTGGAGTTCAAGGGCATTGACAGGGAGTGCAGGGTGTTCCAGAACATGCCCACCTTCTCGGTGAAGGGCATGACGCGGGATGTGAGCACGGAATATCAGATCCGCAACCCGCGGCAGCCGTCGGAATGTGTGGGGGCGGAGCTGAAGGATGAACGGCTGAAGGAGTTTGGTGTCTACGAGGATTAGAGGAGACGGCAAGGGAGAGCGTCACGCTGGACGCTTAAGAGGGAAACAACCCTTTTCCCGCCAAAAAAAATAATAAAAAATGACAACAACGCCCACGTCACGAAGGATGTCCGTGGATGGGTGGCAACGGTGGGCAGTGCGTGCTGCCGGTGTCATCGTGTGAGGACGAGGCGGGCGGACGCCGGGAGGGAGGGAAAAGATAATGTGAGGTGGCTGCACGGTGTTGTTGTCATTATTGTCGTCGGAGTCAATTATTTCCGCTGCGTGACGGGACATTTATTTCCAAATATCTTTTTTTTTTTTTTCCCCATTCCCGCTGCGAGGAATCGTTTTAGGCATTTATATTGGGACTGTTATTTATTTACTTATTTATTTGTTTTTATTTGTATTGTTATTTTGTTTTGTTTTGCGGGATTATTTGCCGCACGCACAGACACGCAGAGAGAATGAGAGAGAGAGAGAGAGAAGGTGAAGATCCTGCGGTTAAATGGTATCGACTGTTACGGATTCATCATGACTTTATTTACATGTATTTATTTATTTATTTATTTATTTATTTATATGTGTGTGTGTGTGCATTTGGTAAGTACGCTTGGGACGGCAACA